AACAAAGGTCTCATTAAGTCTAGGGGCAAGACACAGCAATAAGAGCCCTTCTTTATCTGGTGAATTGTGTGAGGAAGAATGCAAACAAATGTGGACCAGAGTTCAGAAGTTCATTCAAGGACAGGGTACCAGGATGGGAAAAATTGAACAGCCATTTCCTACATCAAGCATGTATCCACACACACTTCATGCTCTCTGAGGTCACCATGAAAGCCCACCAAATCACCCCCACAGAGCGGCGTCATTTCAGCAAGCTAAGAAAGCTTGTTTGCCCTCACAATGGGAAATACCTGCAAATGAAGTGAAAATTATTAAAATGTTAAAAAGTGCTGTCAACTTGCAAACAATGATCTATTTAAGCTTTTCATAAAGAAATAATTGCTACCCAGAAGGACTCTGAGCTGCAGGAACTGAAGGAGGAAAATCGCCCTGTAAGTGTGTCCTCGCTAATGCCATGTGACAAGCAGGAAGGGCTCCGTTTCAAAGACAATAATGATTACAACTTCCCCTCCAAACAAGTCACGTCTTTCGCAACTTCCAGATACACTTCAATTATGATATCGTTTAACAATCGAGCTGCAAAAGTTGCCATCCAACAATGGACCACAATTAATGTTAAGGGTTCAACAAGGCTAAAAGGAAGTTACTTGTTCGGGATAGAAGCAAGACTGCTGGGCTCTGCCACACTCCAAAAACACGTCTAACAAGAGTGGAAAGTAGGGTCCGAAACTAGCTTGGGCTGGCTCGCTTTAAACTCCCATCTGTTAAGTTCCTAACAGCAGACACTATCTCTTGAGATCTTTAAGCTCTGTGTTGTGACCTGTCTTCTCTGTAAACCCCTCTGTACCTCACAGAAAGCCCGGCCCTTGCTTCTTCCTCACACCCCCTTCCACACCCCCCACCAGCATCCCTGAATCTCCTGACTCCAGACAGGACAGAGTCTGGCAACTCAGGGCCTCCCATAGGCCACACTTCCTTCTGTGTAGCCCTTTGGGTAGAACTGCTAATCCTTCTTATTAATTAATGAGATAATGACCGTTAACTGGGAAGCAATATTAACGCTATCGAGGAAACCCGGATCAAAATTATTTTAGCCTTTCTTTTGGTTATCGTCTGCTTCCCAACTCGCTCACCCTGAATGTGGAACTGTGCACTAAGAATTTGACAACATCTTGGTGCAAAATTGAGGTCAAGAATGACTGATTTTGACATGTAGCTCCCTCGTTAAGGTTTCTGATTTTCACGTGTTCACTGTATACATTGCTAACTAGAGAAGGAAGGACCTCTTAACAAACTACTAGAAACAGAAGTGTAGAAATCGAGAGAACTAGGAATTGAATGAGAAATCAATAGGGATGTAAATGAAAGCAACAGTCAGTCCTAACGGGTGCGGTGCGCTTATCCATCCCTACACTGAGCATGCTCCCACCCACTTGTCGTTGCGTACCCTGTACTTTAAGGCTGGTGTGTCCTGAGAAGGTGCACCACACAAGGCTTGCTGCTCTGCTTTGCTTTGCTTTGTTTTGATGACTGCAATAACAAAGACAATATGGGGAATAGGTACCACCTGCCCAAGAATCATTGGACATCTTTAATATCTTTGGGAATATGGAGCCCATTTTAGAACAATTTTTCCTTAATCTGTTACAATCTTTTTTTAAGCCTAAAAAAAAAAATAAATAAAAAGGGAAGGGTTTTCTATTAGCTAAGCTTTGCTGCGGCAGACGAGCAGGCAGCTTTCATTCAGGGATTGTCAAAAACTTTCCAGTGTGCCCACTGCAATGCGGGTGCCAACCAACGAATCAAAGGCATTCAGCAGCTAGACAAAGAGGGTCTGATGCCAACCTCGGTGCCACTGGCAACCATTATTGGCATCAAACACAGTGTCTGCCTTTTTTTTTCCCCCTCGCCTGGCACTTCACAAACAAAATGGCGGTTCTTGTAGCAACGGAACAGCCGAAGCGCAGCCCTCTGAATCAATAGCATCAGATGATTTTTATGAACTTAAATATAGTAACTCCCAAATCATGTACCAAATTTGAGCTAAAATGGGACATATAGTTTTATAAATAACTCTATTTAATATGACCCTCTGCTAATATAAAGAAAGAATAAAATGGACTGAATTGCGGTCCATCAGGCTATATACACGGAAGAAGCTGAGTAACAAAGACACTGAGCTTTGAACAAAATACTGCCCTGTGATGCAAAAGCCTAATAAACTATGTATCAAAAATGATACAAGTTCTCCTCCCAAACTATATCAGATGCAGATGTAGCACTATAGTTTGTGTCAAAGCTCCAGTAACTCTTTCCACATTTCAGAAAAGATGAGGTTGCTAGGGATGGAGTAGGGGGAAAGTGTGGGTTGAACCAAATGAGGCAGGGAGAAAGAAAAGCACTGGGAAGTTGGTCAACAAAGGAAGTTTGTTATCCATCCATCTTTATTTCATCTTCCATTAGAGAAAAAGTATGTGATCTGAAAATAGCCAAGAGGACTACTGACATTTCTAGATCTGGAAATTGTCAATATATTGTAACATCACTCCACACTGCAATGCGGATGCCAACTAACAAATCACAGGCACCCAGAGCTAAACAAAGAGGGTCTGGTGCCAATCCTGGTGCCAGTGGCAACCATCTTTGGCATTCTCTCTATTCTTCCTCGTGTTTTCCCCAGTCCTTTATAAGGAGAGGAAAGGGGGGTAATTGTGTTGCTCATTCTGTTATAAACAGATTTCTCTTTTAATTTTTCTTTCATGCTTTTCTTTATATTTTATCTAATTTTTAAAATGACATAAGTATGTTCTATGTACTTAGAGGAGAAATAAAAAGTTAGGCTGTGAGATGAAGCACTCCGGGTGACCACAACCTTATATTTTAAAACCCACTTTCTTGATCAACTACAATGCAAAATGACAATCAACCCATAGTTCACAAATAAAAAGACATAAATTTTGAAAAAGAAAAGACACAAAAGCACCCTAATGTGACTTTTTAAGAAGGGCCACCAAGTGTTAAGAGGAGAGGATGCAAGGGCAGGTGGCAGAGAGGACAGATGATAAGACACACAGGGAAAATTCCCAAAGGTTTTTAGATTGGGGAAGTTATCAAACAACAAAACCAACATTGTGCCTGAAAATACAGTCTCTAACACTTGGCTCAAAACTTCACGGTTATCATGACCACTAGTAAAATATATATATGCAATATATATAAATATATATGGTTTTCTATTTTTTTTTCTTTTTTCAATCTATCTTCCCAAATCTAAAAGACAATATCTACTGTCAGCTCAACAAAACGAAGAAATTTGGCTGTCTGCCCCAGAGTAAATCTGCACATAAGTCCTCTCGACTAACCATCAAGAGTTAAATCAGGAGCATGGTACCGATCTTCCCTCCCGACTAGAGAGCTCCATGACCCACTCTGCAAAACTTTTCCTTCTAACCAGTGACTTCCCAACAGTCACAACACAGTCCATCTAACACATACATACAGCCCACCTAAAAAATGTCACCTCTTAGACAGCTGTCCATCAAGTTGGTGTGCGTTAATGAGCTCTTATTTTAAGACATCAAGGATGAAAAATATGTTGTCCCACCCACCATTACTTGAACATGAGTTCTCAGTACAGGGAAAGAGCAAATGTGGTGGTTTGTTTGTTTGGAAATACATTTCCAAACGACATTGTCCAACACTGTGGCTTAAAATCAAAGTAAAAAAATCCTGAAACGACACTCAAGTATAGCGCTAGAACTAAGTCAAGGGGAAAGAAAAACAAAGGGCGCACAGTGAGTCCTAGAGGTCTGTCTGAGTCATGACTAATTTTCTTATTCCACTTTTCTGGATGACAATAAAGTACAGAGCAATTTATTAAAGCCCGCGTTTTTATAATGAGCATCGGATAACTGTCTGCCACCTGGCTATCTGCAGGCCACCTTCCCTCCCACCAGGCCAAGTTCGGAAATGACCCGCCATCTGTGGCAGCCCAAACTTGAGGCCACTTTCGGGATGGTGTTTTCTTAAAGGGACTTTTCCTATGTGGGCTGTGTCCTGACATACTGATTGGGGGTGGGGGAGGGGGGTAAACAAAGTCAAAAGTCTCACCTACTTAAGAAAAATAGAAACAGCAAAGAAATTGATCTCGTTAACTCCAAACCCTTGGCAGGAGCACTGCCTCTTTTGCGCTGTGCAGGCAACATTTGCAGGCTCTTCACCGAGGACTTTAAACACAGTCCGGTATGCGGGCTCTGCATTCTTTTGAGATTTATTCTGAACCAGTGTAACCAGTCTCCTTTCTGGTTTGCTCTGTAAAGAAAGCTGTGACTTCTTCCTTGGGAAGCACTATGAATTTGCATTCAAGTAAACTAATAATAGAAAGTGTTCCCAAGTCACTCTGGGAAAGTATTATAAATTATTTAAATAAGAACTGTGCTGCATTAGATCTACGGTGAACACTGCACAATCAAAAGGAGCTGTTGATAGAAATATTAAAATGACAGACATCTAGGCCTCTGTCAGATATATATTTTCATAGCGACCAGCTTAGACACTCTGTAACAGTAAACGCTAATTTGATTTTTGGTACAATCACCACGAGATGTCTGAACAAAGTTCATCTACCTCGTTAGGTAAGAGACTAGTACAAAGATTACTAAACACTGCTTCGACCACCATCAGTAAAGTTGAATTTTCAGAAGCAGGGAGGAGATGCAGCCTGGTCCGGAGAGTGGAGCCAATAAATTGTATTTCTTAGACTACTCTGTGTCTGTTTCTCCAAATGCAGAAGCCTATCCAGGTAGGAAAGCTCCGTGTCCATTTTCACGGCTCTGACATGACCATGGACTCGGAGGGCAACTGGGCACACCAAGGTACCTGGAGAGGGCAGAGGACATCTGGAGGCCTCCAGGACCAGTCTAGCCCGAGCTAGAGATCCCATATCTGGAGGTGGATGGGTAGTGTTTGCCGTGTTAGAAGAAAGAACAATGTGCTCCTACCTTGCTCCTGCACGTAGTATGCCAAAAACAAGTCAAGTTCCTTAACTGATACTGTGATATGGTGTGGCTGGACACAAAGTGCTGGGTTTGTGCAGTGTGGGGACTTCATGAGCCGCTCGCCATCGGTACTCTCCAAAGGGATGCCTTTGAACAGGATCACCATGACTAGATCCAGACGCCAGACTTTGTCTGCCTGTCGCAGGCAGTCGATCCTCCTAATCTTACCCTTCTGGTCTGGATTGGATAAGACACAGCACGGGTGCTTCTTGCCAGTCACGGTAAGCACAAAGTCCTCCCGGTACTCCTGGCGGATATCTTTGCGCAGTTTGGCCAGGAGCCTGGATGCCCACTTCTGTTTGATTTCAGGCTTTTCACTGAGCAGCTCATCTTTAACTGCTCTTTCTTCATCCTTTGACATTCGTTTCTCGTGCTTTTTAAAGTACTTGCGTTTTCGAGCCTGCAGGTTGAACCAAGTATAGGCGATTGCACGGACGTGTGGAAGAAGTGCCTCAATAAATGGGTGGAATTCATCCTGCGGAAGAAGGGAAAGAAGGGGTGCACAGTTTAATTTCCAATGCTAAAAAAAAAAAAAACAAAACAAAAGATGCCATCCACTCCCAATTCAGCACAAAAAGTTATTTAAAAAAATAACATTACTTTCTAATTTAAAATGAACAAGACATCAGGACAAGGAGAAAATGTCCTCTTTCAACCAAAATTCACAAACTGGTTCTCCCCTCTACAGAGAAAATATGGTTGTATTTTGTATTTTCGCTGTGGTCCCATCCCCCTCATTCCCACCTCAAAGTCATACACCTACACCCTTTAAAATAAGGTGCTTGGCACCAAATTTAATATTTAAATATTTGATTGACCCACTGGCACTAAGCAATACCATTTCACAAGGAACACAGTGGGGCTTTTTTTTGTTGCTTTTTGGTTTTTTTGAAATCGGAGCAGAGCTTCTCAGAAGGCAGGAGCGATGCCACAGCTCATTTCTCTTCCCTGTGCCACAGAAACACAAAGCATGTAGATGCTCACTGTGATGCCACACAGTTCCCGCTTTTGGAGCATGCTCTCAGCAAGAGGCTGCTGGTGGCACAAAGAGCATGCGCCATTAAACTTGATCCATTTTCTTATCAAACGTCCAACATTCCTACACTGAAGCAGCACCATTCCAAGAGTGGTAACTAGAGAAACCGGTAGACAGGGAGGGAAAGTGGGCGAAGGACACAGCTCGTCTATCAGTGTCCTGGATGCAAGGTTTCCATACTTTGAACAGCGCATTCTCTCCCTGCACCACCAACATTAGCTTCCAGCACACGTACGCACACGCACACACACACACACACACACACACACACACACACTTTCATTTTTAAATAATTCTTAAAGTTGAAAATGAAATGCCATGATGTTCCTGTCACAGTCATCCTACAGACCCCGGAGCCCCCCAGAGTCAGTTAATCTGTTAACCGATCACAGGAGTATGGCAATTATTCAAACCCCTTAAAAATCAATCTGAGGTGAACAATGAAAAATGGCAACTTGGCACCAACTTTCTGTTCTTTGTTTCTCTGCATGCTGTGGCATGGGGACACCAGGAGCAGCCCCTGGCCATTTACTGCTTTTGTGGAATCTCTACCATGCATGTGTCACACAGACGGAACATGGGACAGGACTACAGGCACACACGGGCATGTGCCTGGGAGCCCACAAGGACTTCAGTCTTGCAGTTCCCAACTGTCCTGTGAACTAAACGGTGTACCTTCCAGGCCTGAATTTTTTTTCTGCCTGTTTTATCTGAACATTTGAAAGGGAGAAGGCTATCAGGTCAGGCATGGCAGGTCATCCCTACCTACAAATATGTCTGGTTACTTCCAAGTGGACTCAGTGTTTCACTACTTCCTGCCTTAGGTAAAGCTGGCCATAGAAGCTCAGACCCATTGCTGTTCAGAGAAAAAGAACAGCATCCCACGCATGGAACAATATATAAATGCCATACGCCAAGCACTGACGCAAAGGAGAACCCCACTACGACCATTTTTCTGGTCATTTGAACTGTTGAGTCATCCTACCCACAAAAGAAGTTTGTCTCATAGGTTACATCCCAAGCCAGAGTGCACCCATTCATGTGCGTTACTCTGAAGCACATCAAGAGTCCAATAGAGTGACTAATTTCACACGATAAAGGTGATTGAGGTAAACTAGCGACACACCAACAAAGAAGCCGCCCCTGAATTCCATGTCTCCGTGGAAGTCTCTTTAAGATGGAATTCAAAGTTTGGGTGCAGAAGACCTATTACTAGTTTGCATCCAGACCCAGAACAGGTACACGACTCCCCTAATCGATAGCCCGGTTATCACGTGCTCTGACATATTGCCGACTAAGAATGCATCCAAATTTTATAATGCAGAATGCAGCTGATTACATCGCAGCATGAGGCAGAGCCAAATGCCATGGAGGAAATTAAACCGATCAGTACTTTCCAGCAGAGATTTGAACAATTCGGTTACTATGTGCGCACATTAAAGGGGGCCATGGAAAGAGTTAAACCACAATCTGTTCTTTGTGTGGGAAGGCAGCTCTGCTCACAGCAACCACAGCCCATGATAAGACCTCCCTATCTCCATACACTGTCTGATGCCATGCTTTTAGCTCCCACTGTAACTGTAAAAACTTTGTTTATCCCCTCCCCTCAAAATACATGCAAAAGGAACGCCTGTCTGCTCAAGGAAATGTGGACATCAATGTGCTTTATGAACTCACTTCCTAGGATCTGACTTTTACTGTGATTTACTGATATAATTTAAAAAGTGCATCTACATTTCTGTAAATGAAAGCCTTGAGGATGCAGGGAATATGGGCAAGAGTGCTTTGTCCTGCTCTTTTTAGCCTGACCACGCTTTCTAAGATGCACATTATTTAATGGCTATTAAGCAACCCAGGAACACTGAAGTACTCAGATACTTAAATACTATGTTCAGTGACATTTCATTTTCTTAGAAGGACATCAACATAACTTTCGATCAAATAATTTTGAGATTTAATACTCGACAATAAACGTCATCTGTTATATAACAAATTTTCATTTTAGATAATTGCATTACACCACCAAGATGCTAATTTGAAGTTGAATTTGGAAACTCTTAGCCAGTTGACAAAAAAACAAAACAAAACAAAAAAACTGTTGTCTTGAGTTTGCTGTCACTGACAGCAAATATTATTTTAAAACATAACTTTTCTTTATTGAGAAACAGAAGTGGCACACTTTCTCAGTCCACCAATTTGCCTTAATATCTTTTGGCGCATCCATATTTGCAGATTCAACTTTAAGTAGAATTCTTACTTGATAAGAAGACATATTGTCCCAAAATGATAATAAGTGGGGACAAGCAATATGCCACATAGACTTTTGCATTTCATGTCTAAATGTCATCTCCCAAGTGTGACTGCTTCCTAAGGCTGTATTGTAATACATTCTTAATAATTTTAAATGACAAGAATGTGGAACGTAGCTGTCCTCGTGTAGAAAAAATAAACAGGATTAAAGCATTTAAATGTCCTCATAGAGTGTCACAATTACACTAAGAAACTATCAAAATTATTTTTAAATCAAAGCATAGAAGTGATTTAACATTTAAGGTCTCTATACTCAGATAAAGCTCACTCTCAGAATTTTCCTTCAAATATACTGACGTTCAGTGAGATACTTTTCCTTATAAAACTTTCTTGAGTAGAACTAAATTGACAAAATAGACAAGTTAAAATTTCAAATATAAATATAAAAGTCTAATTTAACTAGATTTATTTATTCTTCTGCACGGAAACAATGATTTCATGAAAGGATTGGGAAATTGGTCCAACATAGCCATGGTAGAGTAAATACAGCATGCTCTTGGAGCCTCATCACCACATAACAATAAACCCTGAAAAGAAAATGCTGGAAGAACTTGAATGACAATGGAAAAAAAATCATCATGCCAATTCAATATTATATTAAAGGCTTATATGCAGATAACCAAAATATTAAAACAGATAGATGCTTCTTAATTTTCCTTTTACTCATACTGGCCGACAAATGCTGACATAGTGATACTATACCAAACCAGGTAGCTAAATAAAGTTTAATGGTAAGGTCTTTTAGATTAAGTTTTTTTTTTTAAGAACCTAAATGTGTCAATTAACAATTGGGATACTTCTTAAAGTTTCTAACAAATTAACAATGTAGTTTATTTTGTATCTGCATGCCTCAAAACAGGTGTGAGCAGCTATCAGGCTCCTGTAACATAAAACTAAACTACTCATCTGATACAAAAGTAACACTTCCGTGCGGGCACTCTCACTTCTGCCATCCCTTAAATTACCTACAAAGTCATAAAGTGATTAATAGTTGGGAACTCTAAAACAGTAACTCCTTCTCTGGCATAGGCCTTTAGTTCCCAAAAGCAGTAGTAATGCATCAACCCAGATTTATACTGCTAAATTAAGACGGAATATATAGTCATCCTGAATTAATGTTGGGAAGTATGTGTCCTTGAATAGCAATGCGATAGTTGGATGATTGCGCAGTCTATGTTCCAAACATTTCATGTGTCAATATTCTGAAATAGTCGTTTTAACACAGATGAATGAAGATGGAGCTGGTGACTTTTTCATGCTTATTTAAGGGGAGATTAAAAATATAATGCAATTGCTAGCAGTTTCCCAAAAGCAAGAGTTTGGGAATATAAATACAGAGACACAATTACCCAGTCCTTCCCAGGTGAGAACCAGTCAGGCCTCACTTTGTGAAGGAAGCGCTTACTTTAATCCGCTTCCTTTGATCACGATGTAGAAATAATAGGAATGGTTATGGTTTATCAGAAAGAAGGGGAAAAGCCTGCTGATGAATAAATAAAAGTAACTTTTAAAACTATAGGCAATATTTTATACCTGAGGCAATTTCATCATATTCATGGGCTACTATCATTCACAGCTGTTAAAATACAAATAACTCGACGACCCATTTTTCCAGTTTTGTTAAATTAAAGTGCACGTTTACGTGCTTAAAATAGCCATATCTAAGTTAATCATACTCAGATGCCAAACAAAATATAAACAATAAAAAATGTGTCAGCCAAAAAGCTACAGGGCTGTGTCCAATCACTGAATGCCTTATCGTTGTTTTCATCTTCATTCAGTTTGTGAATGCCGCAGTCCTTTTGAATCACAATGGCTTCTAATTGTCATACAATTGAAATCTTAATTATTTGTTCGTTATAAAAATGCATCGTCATAATATTAGATTTTTTTAAAAACTAACACAACCAAAACTTGACAACATTTCTATTTCATATCTATAATAATGTCAATGAAAATTTTCGATTACCAATCTAGATTCATACTCTTGAAAGTTTCACCAAGCTGTCCCATAAGTTTAAGGGTTTAATTAACTGCTGGAAATAACAGTTCTGGACTAGGCTGTTTAGTTCATCAGTTGATGAGTTCGTGGGGCATCCATGAAAGGATGAAAGCGCGCCCAGGTAAGTCGCTCAATCTAACCACTTTTTCACTTGACCATCTGATTGGTAGGGATAGAAACTGGTTTTGTTTTTTAAGTATATCGCCAGTGCTTTACCTCCTAACATTGTTCCTTAGATTTTAGGGCAATTTTCGAAGTTAAAACAAAAAAAAAAATGACCTCACTTTCCTGTTTATGCCTTTCTAGTTATGCCCAAATATCATCAAATGAACAAGCCTCGCTATAAAACAAGCATGCCTTAAAAGTCCCAAACATTCACTACAATCAACTAAACTCTTGTCAACTTAAAAAATCGCCTCTGAAGTGCGGTCTCTGAAACCCTCAAGTGCGGGTAACTGCAGACCAGTACTTTAGGTCCCCAAATAAGCAAAGAAATGGGTCGCCGGGACCACCACTTCGAACTGGCGGAGTCACCAGCTCACTGTGGGCAGCAGAGTCCAGAGGCGCTCAGTCAGGCTCTCAGTACTTTGCCCAAGATCCCAAGCCGCTCCCAAGCCGGAGTCGCTCCACGCACGCCGACCAAAGAGTAGGGGTGCCGCCGCTGCCACCAGCTCCGGGGGCACGCACAGGGGCTTAGAGCCGCGGGTCTCCGCCCTGCCCACTCCGGCAGCCTCGCCTGCCCAGTGCCGGCTCTCCCCGCCTAGGCGCGGGGCTGGGCGCGCGCCGCAGCCCTTGTCCCACGCCGCCCGCACAGCCCACCGCAACTCCTTGCCACTTCACTAGGGAGACCAGGGTTAGGCAAAGCCGTTGAGGTCTGCAGCACAAAAGCAAGAAGACACAACAAAGGCGTCTGGGGCCAGAGAGAAAGCTCAAGAAAACGATCAAGACAAGTACCTGAGTGAGACAGATGGGAGAATACATCATGACTTCGCCTTAAAACGCACTTTCCCGGAGATGCCCAAGAAAATCTTCGAGAAGCAAGGATTTCATCTATTCATTTTACAGTCATCTGAGCCCAGCGATGCGATCAATCAGGACAGTGCTCTGCGCTGGATCACCGCAACTTCGCAACAAACCCAGTCCTCCTTAAATAGCCAAAGATTCAAGTTCACTCGGCGAGCTAGATTTCCCGGGGTGAAATCCAATCTACAGTTTTAACCCTCTTGCGGTCCGCGCGCGCCGGCCGAGCTCCCCAAGGCCGCCGCCGGTGCAGGCTGCTGGTCGCCTGGTTTGGGGGAATTTGTTTTCTGCTTTGCAGTTGTTGTTGTTGTTGTTGTTGTTGGGGGTTTGGGGTGCTCGAGGATTCGGTATGGGTTTGGGGTGGTGGTGGGTGATGAAATGCTTTAAAAAAAAAAAAAAAAGGCGGGGAAGGGGGCGCAGGAGGCCGAGCGGTGGGGAAAGCTCGGAGAACGTGTCACCGCGCTGGGAAAGTTCAAGGTTACCGCCTCGAACACTGCAGCAGGATCCGGGAGTGGCGATCGCAGGCGAAACTTTGCCGCGAGCCGACCATGTGTGTGCGCGAGGGGGAGCGCCAGCGAGTGCGCGCGGGTGGCGGGGCGCGCGCAGGAGAGGGCCGGGTGGGGGTGGGGAGGGGGGAGCAGGGAGAGGCCGGGGTGAGGGAGGGGGCGCGAGCGCGAAGCTCCCGGGCGGAAAAGACTTTGCTGCGCTCGGGCCCCGCTGCACAGCCGCCCGCCCGCCGCGCCCCGCGTCTGACCCGCCGAGCGTGGACGCCGCTGCTGGTGCCGCTGCCCACAGCTCACGGAAGGGATCGGAAGGACCTCCTGAAATTTTCCCAAACGATCGATCCCGCTCAGCTGCAAACTCCTCTTTTCTGTTCTGGGCGCTTTTTCCCCCTCCCTCTCTCGCTCTCTTTCCTTGAAAAACTTGCAAGTTGAAAGATTCACTGTTCCACCCTCTGGACCCCGCTCGAGCTCTCTCCAAATCAGACTTAAGGATTGTTTTATTATTTAATTACACAATCACCGCTTTACTCCTCCTCCTGCAAACGCGCGTTCCTTTTGCACCAGCCTCTCCACACCCCCCGCCCCCCACCTTCCTCCTCCTCCCGCGCGCCTCCCCCAGTCCTCGCGTCTCTCCCCCTCATTTGTTAAAGGTATCAGACCGGTGCCACAGTACTGGGACTTTTTTTTTTTTTTTTCAAAAATAGCTCTGCCACCCTTCCTGAACCTCCGAAAACCCGCCCAGAGAGAGGTCTTTCAGTGCTCGCAGCAGACGCTCAAGCCACGAGAACATCCTAATGAGAGAAGCCCTGAGCCGATCTGGGCCCGAGAAAGAAACGAATGGAAAATTCCCTCACACCCAGGCCGCCCCGGGCTGGGGATAGGGCGCCGACTCTAGCACCCCAGGCGGCTGCAGGGAGAGGGCGGAGGCGGGGGCCGGAATGAACTTGGCCTCTTGGAGTTGGGGCGCACCGGCACGGAGACTGGGGGCGCGGCGGGCTGCCCTGCCAGGAGCCCGCGCTAGCGGACGGGGAGGGGCAGCGGGGTCCCGGGCCCCCCCTGGCCTCGCCACCGCGGCCCGCCCTCCCCCGGCGCTCGGTGCACGTGGCCGCGCTCGGAGCGGGAAGGCCGCGCTGCAGCCACGGCTCGCCCCTCCTCCGCGCGCCCGGCCCCTCTCCTCCTCCTACTCCTCCTCCTCCTCCTGGCGCGCTGGCCGCGTCCCAATCCCCACCCCCAGGGCCCGGGGCGCCGGCGGAAAGCGGCTCCCTTCCCGCGGGGGTGCGGGCAGGGCGGGGCCGCGGCGCGCCTGGGGCTGCGGGGCGGGAGCGCGCCGGGTGCGTGTGCGGCTGCGGCCCTCCGAGGCGGCTCCCGCCGGCGCCCCGCCCCCCCCGCCGAGTGAATGAACTTGATTCCCGGGACCCAGGAGGCGGCCCAGCCCGCACCCCCATTCGCGCGGGCACTCTCTCCCACACACACCGCCCCCCAAATTCCGGGTTTCCGCTAGGGGTGGGTGGGGAAGTGGAGGAATCAAAGGCTGCCCAGACAATGGAGAAAGAAAAGTGAGCGCCCTGGGCTCCGCGGCGACCTAGCTTGGGGCCGCCGAGCGTTTCCAGGCCCCCCGCCGCCTCCCGCTCCCACCCCGTGCCCTGTACTTTCCCCCCTCAACTTTCTCCGGTCCTCGAGCTCCTGACCACCGTGCCCTCCCCCAGAGGACCTGAAAGAACCAGTGACTTCTTCCTTCCCCAAGTGGAAGTTACCCACATCAAGCATTTCACAACGACACATCAAGAAAAGTAGGCAGGTTCAAGTCAACCATGAAATGGTCACTTTTTAACCCCGTCCTGTCCTCATTAGGGAAATGCTCAAACACAGTCCGTTTTCAAAAAGCGCTCTTAATGAGGCGAGCTTGCCAAGTCTACCAGCTGCAGCCCCTGTAAACCAAGAGCCCGGTGAAGAAAGGCGCAGGGGGTGGGGAGGCCAGGAGGCGGGGAGGGCCGCGGGTCTGGGAGGACAGGTAAAGTCGGGGAAACTGTGAGAACACGGGCGAGTTAACCCTTTAGGGCACGCGCCGCCCGCGGGGAGCGAGCGGCCTCCCTGCCCCCACTAGGCAAATCCTCTAGTTAGCGTTCTGACAACGTTAATTTCCTTTGTACCGGTCATTTCTTCTTCTTGAAAAGCTGGGATAAAGTTGACAGTCTTTATAGATGAAAGGAGGTGACAATAGGGGTTAATCCAAATAAATACTCACTTCTCTCTCATAAATTTTAGGCAGCCTGATCTTAACTTTTAAAGGAAAGAAAGAGGGAAGGGGGGAAAAAACGATCACTCCCAAAGCATCAGTTTGAACTGAGCTGCATCTCTTTCTCGCCCTCACCAGATTCTGCGGGAGGGGGCGGGGACGCTCCACTGATAATACCAGCTTTAACTACTGGAGTTTCCCTTTGAACAAATATTCAATTTAACTGGAGTTAATTTACCATAAAAGACATTCCCCTTGGCACGAATGCACTCATGTCCTTGAACACACCTCTTTGAATGCCTGGACTCTTAGAGAAGCCATTATTTCGGGGTCTCTTTAAAAATCCAGTGCCCATCTCTCCGCTTCCCTCCCTTCCTCCCTCCCTCCCTCCTCACTACACCACCCCCAGCGAAATCCTGGCACCCAGAGAGCACTCTTTTCAGCCAGAGCCCAGAACCAGCCGTTGTCCCCTGGCAAAAGAGGCCCAGTGCTGGGCCCTGGGCAAGTGTCTCCAGACCTCCCTCCTTTCTTTATTAGTCTTCTTTCCCAACAGAACCTATTTCCTTTTGCCACTAAAACTAGGTTGCATCCAAAAGTTTCTCACAAGCTTTAAAAAAAGAAAGATGAAAAATTATACAGAAGAATTCACAAAAGCTGCAGAGCACCAGGGCAGAGAAGCAGCGTCAGACACAGGTAAGAACCCAGAGAGCCCAAGGTTCCAGGCCTCCCAGGCCCACCCCTAAGAGACTGAGCACTTCCAGGTGTCCCATATCTATGTCTGTACAATGCTGATGGCTTGGGGTACATGCTGGTGGCCACAGGGGATGCTTTGTAGTTTGGGGTTTGGATTTGTTTCCAAGGTAAGGATAAAGAAGTAATAACAGTGACTTGAGGAAAGCAAAGGGTGAAGAATGAACAATAGATAATCCCGGGAAAGAAGGGCTTGAGATGCTGGCTGGGGAAGGCTTTGACCTTCAGACCTTGGGTTCAGAGTCAGGAGAGCTGACATCTCCTGGCCCCCAAGCTCCGCTGCCTGCCCAATGCTCAGATCACTGTAGGCTTCCCAGGGAGACCCCTAGGAGAATGCTCTTGGGAAATCTGGGCTCCTGGGTCCTCTGCTTTCTCTGGCTGCCCAATGCTCAGATCACTGTAGGCTTCCCAGGGAGACCCCTAGGAGAATGCTCTTGGGAAATCTGGGCTCCTGGGTCCTCTGCTTTCTCTGGCTGCTCTCAGCACTTGTCAGCTCCCTTTGCTTTGAGAAACACTCCTCATCAAATCCCTGCAGGAGGGGAAGGATGGATTGTAAGGTCTGTGTGTTTCAAAAAAGCAGCTTTCAAGTTGCTCTGAAAAGTTTCTGAATTTGTCAAAATGGGCCAAACAGGCAGGCTTTGGCCCTTGCCTCTTCTAAACCTTCTGTTGTCCCTTTCTTGCACTGGGGGCTATGACAGGCCACCTACACTAATCTCAGGACAGGGAGAGCTGTTGCCATGTATTCCTGATGATCTCCTTCTTGACCATTGTCTGCTACCACATTAGGGGAAGGTGTCTTTTCTGACAGAAAAGTTTATTTTTCTAAAACAAAAGTCAGGACTTCTAGTGTCTGGGTTCTCAAAACCCACATGTATATTACAAAATAAACATTGCCACCTAGTTTGAGTCTTTCTCTGACCTCCAGAGAAGGGCCTGATATCTCAAGCATCTCCTGATATTGGTTTTGTTTTGTTTTGTTTCTTTAATCTTTCTTCTTTTTTTAAAAAAAAAAAAAAGGTACAGAGACAGATTGCAAAGCCTGAGCTATTTCATGTAAGGTTCCTCCGAGCTTAACAAAACTGTCAGACTTAGTGCACAACACTACTTTTATTTTTTTCAGTCCTTGCATGTGATTTGAGGGGAGGTTCAACAATCCCATACATCTAGCTACATGGCCGCTATCAATGTTGAAAAACTAAATACAAAAGAGGCATGTAACCTTCTGACCTCAGGAAGCAAGCTTGCAGAACTGCAGGTGTCCACCGTGTCCTACCCAGGGACCTTTCTTTCCTCCAAAATTAGCCTGGAAAACATAGATTTATATCCACCAGCAACACCACCAACTCCCCCCCCCACACACACACACACACACAGCCAGTGCATATAGAAACAGCCAGCAAGGGCTAAGTTTGCATGCCTGTGATGGGAACTGCAGAATCATGCCCAGCTCTCTGAGCCCTTGAACTACTACTATCAAATCAGGGGAGCAGTTTTCCCCCACTGGAGAATTCACAACTGGCGAGTTTCCCCACCTACTGCCAGTCCTCGGCTTTTCAACTGAAATGAATAAATACCCTTGGACTT